GGATAACCTGCTGGAGAGGAGGTCCTGTGGAGATGCCCTGGTGAGCCGGATACTGCACGGGGTGAGGGGCCAGCAGTTCTCATCTCCTCAGATGAGCTATCGGACACATGAATGAAGCCCTCTCGGATCCTCCCATCACACCTGAGCCTACAGATAACCACAGCTGCACGAGATGCCTCAAGCCAACCAGCTGAAGACCTACCCAATGGATTCTAGTCCATACTGTAGAGTTGTGAGTAAATAGGGTCATTTTAAGTCATTCAGGTCTGGAGTGGTTTGTAATGCAACAATAGATAATTGATAGACACATTAGTTAGGAACACACACACACACACACACACACACATCCAAACAAGAAACCACCCAAGGCCATACCTGGGGGATCAAAGACCCTTACTAGCCATACAAATCAAAAGATGATGGTGGGCCAGGCTGGAGCGATACCTTCAAGGAAGTGCACTGGGCTTGAAGGACAGCTAGGACTTGAGTATATATGGGGAAGAGGGACCTAACGAAAGAAAAAGCCAGAGCAAAGGCTCATCTCTCTCTGGACTATATGCTTCTAAAATGAGATTCTGAAGGCAAAACACTTCCCTGAGGACTGACTCTAATGATGGACTTTCAGGAAAGTGACACAAGGAAACCCTTCAGCATTTGGCTGAGAAGCCCTCTCACTGCTCTCAGAGCATAAATGTAGTTGGCAACCTGCTCCATTTACTATAGAGCCGGCCCTGCTGCAAATGACCATTTTAGAAAACTCCTACGGCTAAATCCTGAGACCCTATTTAATAAGGGGTTCTCTCTTAGATGGAATAACCAGGAATAGCTAGGTCTATACTTCTATTTTATAAAATGGCCAAATTATTCTCTCTGGTCCATCTTGCTTACGAACAGTTCTGGTTTTGTTGTTTACCTGTGCACTGCCTGATCTCTAAGGCTAACTGCTTTTCTATCATTTGACTTTTTGCCTCCCTTATGGCAACAGCATCGACTGAGATCGGAGCTGGACAATCACCACACGATCCTGTAGCTGGCTGTTCACTTCTCTGAGATTCCCACTACAGCACAAGGTCCTCGGGAGGCAGAGCTTTTCTCTGCTCTACGCTGTCTCCCCAGTGCTCACATATGGCCAGACACAGGTTAAATGTTCGGTGAATGTGTATCGAGTTAATGAGAAATCCAGAAAAATGGAACACCACAAAACGCGGCAAATTAGTAAAAGGTGTACTAGGCAACTCTACTCCAGCTTCTGTGCTAACCACTTTATGAATCTTTTGCTTTTTATGTTTAGCAAGCTTTATTTACATTTAGAGAAGTTAATTACCTGCAGAGCTGGAATCCAATTAGGTCCTTCTGTTCCCAAGTCCATGCTCACTTTCTAGCTCTCCTGGATAGTGAACACTGGGCCTCTGACAATGGGCCTCCTTTGAGAATCTTTGCTTGGACCTCAGGAAAGAACTTACTTGCCCCTGAACTTGCTGGGAAGGATCGAGTGTCTAGAAAAGGTCCTTAGAGTCTGCAGACTTTTTCATGTACATAAGGAGGGAGAACTTGGCACCCAGCTCATAATGGGAATAAGGAGTCCCTCCCAGGCCACTCTTCTCTTCTTCAGGACCAAGTCACTATTCTCTGGAAGGTCTGACAGGTAGGAGAGGGAGCCAGACCTGCCTGTTCATAGGGTGGGGTATTACCATTTGACCTGATTTCTCCCAAGTTTTGTGATTAAGATGAGGAGTTAGAGGTGGGGCAGGAACTTGGCATTGAGGCTGAGGTACATGAGGGAAACGGGCTCTTGAAGGGCAGGGTGGAGTGGGGTGACTCAGGGGGGCAGGACCCAGTGTGGGACAGCCTTGGCAGGCAGGGGCAGATCTGAGAAGACTGTCTAACTGCATACCAGCGCCTGATACTTTGCAGGTACAATTTGGCAGCTGCAGTGTGGTCAAGTAACCTGTGGCTTTGTACCTGATAGCCTAGGCTCAGATCTTAGCGTGGCTATTTACTATCTCGACTCTGGCAAAATAATTTGATTTTTCAGGGCTTGTTTCCCTTTTATAGTGGGGGACTAAAGAGCTAGGCTGGCGTGGCAAAGGAGAGCATGCTGATCAGTTCATCTCCCCGTCCTGCTGGCACTCGGCATCGGCTGATATTAGCCAGAGCCTTTCAGGTGAGCTGTGTCAGGCAGGGAGGGGCCCGTTATGACTTTCAAGCTAGATTTATCATCTTGTATTTATTAGTCATTTTTCTTGATTTAAAAAGAATTAAAATGAAAATTTTTTGGTGGGCCTCTAAAAGTATCTTGGCCCTGGAGTTGTGCCCAATGAAGCAGGTTCTGGTGTCAGGCCGTGAGCTCTTCCCATGGGCTCTGGTCTCTTCCTTCCTTCTGAATCTTCGAGTCCCGTTGCTGTCAGGATGGTTGTTCAGCAATGAACTTACAACCAAAGAGGCACTTTCCCCTCGAGGTGTTTATTGGGTCAGTGAGGGTGTGCATTATTCATGATTATCGGTGTTCCTGTGGAGGTCTCAGTCTATCTCCATTTCAGGATGTCGCTGTGTGAGGAAGGTAGTGTGAAAGCTGGAACTACACAGTTTATTGGTTCATCCAAAAAATATTTGAGTACCATATGCTAAGTCCTGTGACAGGAATGGGACATAATAGTTCGATGAACAAAAAAGACAGAGGAGTCCCTGTCCCCTCATGTAGCTTACCTTCTGGTGGAGGGAAATAGACAAGAAACCAAAAAATTAAGTCAGCTGGTAAGTACTAAGCAAAGTGAGGTAGGAATGGAGTTTGCTATTTCATATAACATGGTCCGGAAACATGTCTTTGAGAAGGTGAGATTGGAGCAGAGCCCCAGAGGAAGTGAGAGAGAACCCTGTGGCCATCTGGGGGGAGAGTATTCTGGGCAGGAGGGAAGCAAGTACAGAGACCATGAGGCAGGAGCAGGAACCTGGAGGGGCAGAGTGGCAGGGGATGAGGTCAGATAGGTGGCACAGGGCTAGATCATGCAGGGCTTCATTTTGAGGATTTTAACTTGTAGTCTGAGTGTGATGAGAAGCCACTAGAAGAATTTAAGAGGAGTGGCATGATCTGACTCAGCTCTAAGATCACTTGGCTGCTTGCATGGAATACACAGGAGGCAAGAAGCAGGGAGAGCCCAGGTGGGAAGCTAATGAGATGATAGTGTGTTCCAGGGGAGAGTTTATAAAGGTTTGGACCACAGGGTTGGCAGTGGTGGTGCTAAGTGGTCAAATTGTGGATATGGAGGTGGAGCCAACAAGATTACTGGTACATTAGATGTCCAAGTAAACAGAGAGAGAGGAGTTACAGAAAACCCCAAGTTTTGGACTAGACAACTGGAAGCACGGAATTGGCACATACTGAAATGGGGAAGGGAACAGGTTTAGTGAGGACTGCAATAGGTTTTATTTATTTTTTTTTGAGAGAGAAGGGAAGAGGGAAAGGGAGAGTGAGAGAAACATCCATTGGTTGCCTTCTGCATACACCCTAAAAGGGGTCCAAGCCTGTAACCCAGGCATGTGCCCTGACCAGCAATCAAACCAGAGACCTTTTGCTTTGCGGGACGATCCCTGATCAACTGAGCCACACTGGTCAGGGCCAAGAGTTTGGTTTCAAACCAGTTAATTCTGAGACACTTAGAGATGTTCCAAATCAGAGCACTGGCCAGGGCTTTGCAGCCCAGCATTAGTTACACTGACTCTGCTACCAGTGAAGGGTGCAGAAGTGAGCCAAGGGAGCCCCTCGGCTGACGGCATCGCCCAGAGGGGGATACAGTTTTGAGGCATCAACAGACAGTACTCCTGGAAGTTGAGGGAAAGTGTGTCTTAGACCTGAAGGGGAGATCTGGATGGCACATCATAGTATCCACTACGGACCACCTCTTGTGCCATTCAAATCCACTCCCTCTGGGAACAGCTTCTCCGGGATTCTGGTTGGTCTGTTTGCTTGAGAAACTTACAAAAGGTTAGTGGTATGAACTAGCCACTTCTACTTGTCCCCACTACTGAAGCTAGTCTTGAGGCCACAACCAATACTCATAACCTTCCTCCTATTTTATCCATCCCAGAGTCCCCTCATCCTTGGCTGGCACCTCCGCTGTTCCAAGTGGCTTACCTGCTTGTATGACCCAGATCTTCATCTCTAAGGGATCTGAGCAAGGGGTCACCATGCCCTTCTCAGATCAAGATTGCTGCATTTCTTCATTTACCTTTTTAATTGGAAGGGGGAGTATCAGAAGATGCCCCAGTGGATCACATGAGCACCAATAGTTCTCTGCTGTCCCCCCAGGGTAACACAAGCAGGGTAACACAAGACACATCATGATGATCAGGGTCAATCACCTTGGCCAGTGTGGTGATCCTTTGCTTGTCTGCCTGTCTCTTGGCATTAGGATTCTGAGGTGACCAGGCAGCAGCCATGGCTTTAAGCTTACTGGAAATCCTGCTCTACCTCATCCTGGTAGACGCTTTCTCTCTTTGGGAGCTGGAGTTTCTAGACCTACGAAGCCTGAAGTTGTACGGACTAGAAGCAAAAATTTCTCAAGGATATCACTGGAGTGATGGTGAGTGGGTCCACTTCTTTATTCCTGGACCTGTGTATTCTGCTTATTGGAGACACAGTACCATGTAATGGGTGTTGATTAGGATGAGATCACATCCTAGAGAATACTCCTCCAATTTTGCAGGATATCAACTCCATGTTGGTGCTTCAACAGCATCTTTCAGCAGCCACTTCACCACTCTATCATGCTAGCAGATTCTGGGAATGAGACAGGACTAGGGGATACCACAGTCATGTGAACACTCCATACTTCCTTTGCTGGAAAGTGAGGCCCATGGTCCAAGGCAAGGTTACACTTGATCCCATGTCAGTGGATCTAATGCTCAGTAAGCCTGTCAGTTGTGGTGTTGGACAAGGCTCTGCAAGCAGGAAAGCTAAATCCAAATCTGGATTATCCACCAGGAGTATGTTTTAAAATAAAATCTTTATTTAATAATTATAAGTGTATGTACAGTTGTAAAATTAAAAGAGATCTCATGTGCTTTATATTTTTTACATTTTCTTCACCTGAGGACATTTTTCATTGCTTTTGGATAAAAGAGAGGGAGAGAGGGAGAGAGGAAGGGAGAGAAACATCAATGGGTTGCCTCTAGCACGTGTCTGGACCAGAGATCGTATGTGCCAGGACTGGGGATGGAACCCACAATCTTTTGGTTATAGGACCACACTCCAACCAAGCCATACCAGCTAGGGGCCCAAGTACTCTTACACAGAGCAATAGTGCAATGTCACAGTCAGGGTATGTATATGGGTACAATTCAGACTGCCCCAATGTCACTTGTAGTCATTTGTGTGAGTTATCACCAACAGTCAAGACAGCATCGTTCCCTCCCCATGGACCCCTGTGTTGGCTTTTTATGGCCACACTCGCCTCTCCCTGCCTTTGCCCATTCCTAACCCACAACAACCATGGATCTGTTCTCCATTCTTGAAGTTTTTCATTTCAAGTATGTTTCATAAATGGAACCATGCAGCACATAACCTTTGGAATTGGCTTTTTTCACTCAGTATAATTCCCTGAAGATTCATCCAAGTTGTGTTCATCAACAGTTCATCCTTTTTATTGCTGAGTATTCCATGGTATGAATGTACCAGTTTGTTAAACTATTCAACAACTAAAGTATATCTGCTTCCAGCTTTTTGGTGGTAGTGAATAAAGCTTCTATAAACATCTGGGCACAAGTTTCTATGTGAACATAAGTCTTAATTTCTCTGGGACAAATGCCCGAGAGTACAACTGCTGGGTCATATGGAAATTTTATGTTCAGTTTTGTAAAAAACTGCCAAACTCTTTTCTAGTGCAGCTGTATCAATTTACATTCCCATCAGCAATGTGTGAGTAATCCAGTTTTTCTACATCCTCATCAGCATTGGATGTTCTCACTATTTTTCATTTTAAGTATGTAGTGATATCTCATTATGGCTTTAGCTTGTATTTCTCTAAGGAGTAATGACATTAAACACCCTTCCATGTACTTATTTGCCACCTGTATATCATCTTCAGTGAAATGTCTGCTTATATCTTTTACCCATTTTCTAATTATATTTTTTTCCTATTGAGTATTAAGAGTTCTTTATATATTTTAGATACTAGTCCTTTGTCAGATATGTACCTTTCAAGCATTTTCTCCCAATTGTAGTTTGTCTTTTTATCTTCCTCACAGGGTCTTCCACAGAATGAAAAATTTTCACTTTGATAAGGTCCAATTTATCAATTTCTCCTTATATGGTTCATGCTTTTGATGTGAAGTCAAAGAACTCTTTGCCTAGCCCTAGATTCTGAAGATTTTTCTCCAGTTTTGTTTTCTAAAAGTTTTATACCTTTATATTTCACATGCAAGTCCGTTATCCATATTGAATTAATAAAATGTTTTTTAATCCTAGTCAAGACAAGCCATTTCCTCTTCCAGGGTTGAAGTGGCCCAGGGTAATCAACTTGCCACAGGGAGCCAGCTTGTGTCCTTGAAGAGTGGTGGGCACTACATGGGGCTGAGCAGAGCTTCTGTTCCTGCCAGGCTGGTTGTCTGTGGCAGCAGTAGCTGGACTAGCCTCTGTGATTGAGAGTTTGTACTAAAGTGGCCAATGACAGAAGCTATCTGACATCAACTGGCTGACTTACTCTGTCTACTTGGGTGTTTACTGGCACCTGCTTTCTGGTGGTCATTGATGTGTGGTAGAAAAGATCTTCACACCCACTTCCATAGGTCTAGTAACATGCCTCTCTCCTGGGCCTCCTTGTCCCTTATCTTCTAATCTTTCTCCTTCCCAGACCCTTGGCCAATTCACCACAACCTGTGAGTCCTATATTCCTTACCTTAGGTTATTTCTCTTGTCTCACAAGAGAATGATAGATGCATGAAAGCTCTGTCTACTGTGAAGATTTCACCTTGCCCGTTTTTTCCAGCCACCCCTGGATGGGCTATAATGCAGCACCAGTCCATTTGTGGCTTTACCTACCCATGAACCACTCCCGGCTCTGTCCTCCTCTATTAGCTGATCATAAGGCCCCTGTGGCTACAACTGTGAGCTGAGAGAGAGGCAGTGTAGATAACTTCAGTGCCTGGAAGCTATAGAGCCTTTGCAACTTAGCCTCAAAGTCAACACACAGCACTACTGTATTCAATTGGTAGTAGCAGTCACAAGCCTTCCTACATTAAAAAGAAGAGAATGAGACCCTACCCCCTGATGTGGAATGGCAAGGTCACATTGCCGAAGAGTATGTGGGAGCTACTGAGTCATCTTTGGAAAATACAACCTGCCACAACAAGGTTTCTCTAGTCTGGCTGGTGGAAACTGGAATGATTCCCAGCCCTGCATGAGCTCTAGGAATTTTTCAGCTTACAGCTCCCCAGTAACTTCTCCTTCTTCAGCAGTTGTTCTTTGGCTTGACCTTGTGAAGTGTCACCCTCTGCACACAGACTATTCAGCCAAAGACTGAACTCCTTATACGAAGCTCTTCCTCCATGTAGCTCCCTTCCTTTTGGCATTTACCTAGTGAATTCTAGCCACCTCAGCTTCCCCAGACTGTAATCTCTGTTTCTTCAACTCAGCAAGACCACTGGGCTCCACCAGGGATTTTCCTAACCAGTCCGTAAAACTGCAGTGGTGCCATACTGGGGGCTGAGCTATCTGAAAATCGCTTCTAAAACTGAGGACTCACCTCATTTGCTTCCCTTCCCTTAGGGATCACAGTCCTGTACTGCTTCTCGTCCAATGTCTGGAAATAGTTGTTTAATATCTTCGATCCAGTTTTTCCATCGTTTATGGTGAGATTAAGTCCTGTTTTTCATGGGTGGAAGCATAACCTGAATATATTTTGAAGATAAAGCCAACAGGATTTGGTTATGAGTTGGGGGTAGGTTGTGAGTAAAAAAGAGATGTCGAGGATGACTTCGAGTTTTTGGCCTGGAACTAGAAGGATGGCCTTACCTGTGGTTAGGTCAGAACTGGGGGACAGGGGTAGAAGGGAGATAAGATTGGGGGTTTAGTTTTAAAAATGTTAAACTTGAGATGCCTGTTAGACCTCTGAGCAAGGATATCAACTTTTCGGTTAAATATACAAATCAGGTGTTCAAGCTGGAGGTCAGGCTAGAAATATACAATTGAGAATAGTCCCTGTACAGATGGTAATTGATGCCAGAAGTCTGAATGAGACCACGGAAGCTTTCGATAGAAAAGAGAAGTCCAAGCACTGAGCCCTGGGGCACTCTAACAGTAAATATTTGGGGAGATGAAGAGGAACCCTTGAGCTCCTATCTTAGTGCCAACTCTCCCTTTCTCCCATGTCCACAATTCTTTCACTCCCATGGCTGTGCCCCATCCTGTCTGTTCAATCAGCCTGCTCCTGCCCCTTTTCTGGCACGGACTTCTGCTGACCTGTTTTGTCCTGTGGCCATCCAAGTCCAGCCCCGACAGATCAGTTCCAGGACTGCTCTCAGGCCTTGGAAACTGTTCTAGCCAATCCATGTCCTCAGAGTCCTGTGGAGTCATTTGAAATCCATCTGGCACCCTCAGGACTACTCTTCTGCCAAAGTATAGGGTGGGAATAAGGCCATGGCCCATGACTTTCAGAGCGAGTAGTGCCTGGGCCACAGCCCTCTGTCATCTGTGGTGGTACCTCCCATTTTGAGTACTCACTCTGAACAGGAAAAGAGCAGATGTATCATTCTAGAACAAGCCAGTTTCTTTTCCCTAAGATTCAGTCCTACACAGTACTGCTGTGTGGGCAGCCTTGGTAGTGTCTTCCATGATACTGACCTCAAAACACTAAGTGTATATTTCCCTAATATGCCCAATTTCCCCATAGCAATTTACTAGTGACTGGATAGTAGTAATTAATATTAGCATCATACATCTAGTCACATGTGAAAAGGATTATATAAGGAAGTTTAACATAGTACTATTTATAAAAGTAAAAATATTAGAAATAACATGACCAACAATAGGAGATTGAGTAAATAAGTTATGGTACATCCATAATATGCACTTATTAAAATAATTTTGCAGATATGTGAGGTTGTTTATAATACATTTTAGCAAGGCAGGACAATGGCCAGTGTTTTAAAGCACTTTAAAATGAACAGACTTAAAGAGAATTCTATATCGTGAATTCTAACAACTAATGGCTAGGTGGAGAAGGATGAGCCTGCAAAGGAGACTGAGGAAGAGTGGTTAAAGACATAGAAATTACACAGGAAGCATGTTGAGTCACAGAAAACAGGGGAGATTTTTTTTTTTTTTTTTTTTTTTTTTTTAAGAAATAGGAGTCCTGGCTGGTGTAGCTCAGTGGATTGAGCACTGGCCTGAGAACCAGATGATTGTGGTTCGATTCCCAGTCAGGGCACATGCCTGGGTTGCAGGCCAGTTTCCAGTGGGGGACACATGAGAGGCAACCATACATTGATATTTCTCTCCCTCTCTCCTTTCCTTCCCCTCTAAAGATAAATGAATAAAATCTTAAAGAAAAGAAAAGAAAGAGGAAATGGCCATTTAACCATTCCACATGCAAATGCTGAAGAGGCCAGATGAAGACTGGGATATGACCACTGTGCTCACCACGGATATCACTGATGACCCTGGCAAGGGCTGCAGAGCTGCAAAGCTCGAGACGACTGGAGTAGGCTGAAGGGTAGATGGGAGGTGAGAGACTTAGACTGCGTAGGCAAAGAGAGACAGAGGATGTATGTTCAGGGACTTTCTGCCAGAGAGATGAACTTATCTAAATAACTGTAAGATGGATCCAGCAGAAACAGAAAGACTAGATATGTGAAAAGACTGGGTGAATTACAGATAAGGTTCATGAAAAGGGTGGGGCAGGATGGGACATAAAACACAAGTGATAGAATTGTTCTTGGTGAGTTAGTAAGAAAGAAAACTCTTCATTTGTGACAGAAAGCAAGAAGAAAGGATGACAAGTGGATAAGGAAGGTGTAATACATACATACAATGGAACATTACTTGGCCATAAAAAGAACGAAATCTTAACCTTTGCCACAGTATGGATGGACCTGTAGGGTATTATTCTAAAGGAAATAAATCAGTCAGAGAAGACAAATACCATATAATTTCACTTATATGCGGAAGACAGCCACATGTGTGAAATCTAAAGGGCAAAACAAACAAAACTGATACAAACTCATAGATCTGGAGAACAAACTGATGGTTGCCAGAGGGAAGGAGAATGGGGGACTGGGTGAAAAAGGTGAAGGTACTAAGAAGTTCAAATTGGTAGTTACAAAATAGTCCTGGGAATATAAAGTACAGTATAGGGAATATGGTTATAATATTGAAATAACTACGTATGGTGCCAGGGTACTGGGAATATCGAGAAGATCATTTTATAAAATATATGAATGTCTAACCACTATACTTTATACCTGGAACTAATACAATATTGATTGTAAACTGTAATTGAAAGATAAAACTTATTAAGGAGAAGAAAGGGTAAAGGTGTGAGTAGGTTTAAACATTTGGTAACATAAAGGAAGAACTCAAAGATGAGGACTTGGGTAGACAGTGAGGAGCATCAGAGGTCTCAGGAGAGCAGAGAAGGCTGGAAATGGGTGTGGGTGGGTAGGGGTGTGTGCTGACCAGAGAAATGTAAACTCTTCAAACCACCCCTTGGTTCCATGTGGGGCTGGTGATCCTGAATTACAATGGGAGCAATCTGCCTGATGCTGAAACTTCCTTTAGTAACATGTGGTTGTTTGGGCGCAGGAAATAAGCATAGATGGATTCATCTGGAGTTGGAGTTTAGCCACACAGGAGAGAGAAAAATCTTCCCCACTTGCAGGGCTGGGTGGGTGCGGATGAGCCAGCTGCCTGGCTCTTCTGTGAAAGCACAGCTAGAGGGAAATAGGAAGAAGGTGGTTCCTCTGTCCCCACCAAATGAGTTTCCCTACAGTTCACCTTCCAAACTTCCTGTCCCTGGGAGAGCTGGCCCTCTGCTAGCCTGACAGACTCCCGTGGAGAGCTCGGCCCCCCATAGGCTGTTTGCTGTTTCTGCAGGCTGGTCAGGAACAATCCCTTTCAGTCTTCAGAAAAGTCCTTTTATATGTTCTGCTTCTTGATTCACACTGTGCTTGTGGGTGCACGGGAGGGACAGGGCTTGAACCACGGAGGAAGGTCACTGTTAACGTGTAGTGAGGACAAAACAGCCTTCTCTAACTCTCCAACTCATACCATACTCCAGGGCCAACACTGCTTAAAAGAAGCAATGGGGTTTCACTTTCCATAGGCTCTTGGCTTCTGTACAAAGCAAAATAGAATAGAGACACATATAGTGTTCAGCTCTGGGTTTTTTACCCAAGGAGGGGAAACAGAGCTGCCAAGTTATAATTTGTGCACATGTGACATTCCTAACCCGGCCACTGGGCTAGAGTAGCCTTTGGGAAGGGAAGGGCTGGAGGAGGATGGAAGGAGTGATGGAATCAGGTTCCAGCTCAGGCATAGGTCTCAGCCTTGGCTTCTACCAGAGAACAGAAGAGACAGTGAACATAGAGGCGACGAACTGATGGCTCTGCTGATGTGTGAACAATGTACCCCATCAAGCTGGCCTGGGAAACAAGCTGGCCATGGGGAAAAAGCCAGCCCTCACTCCCACCCTAACATGTATACTCCAACTAGGGAAAGGCCAGCCCCATTTTTCCTGTGTGTATTTGCTCCCTCTGGAAAGAAAGAAACTAAACCTCTATCTTATACCACATTACAAAATTAACTCAAAATGAATTAGAGACTTAACATCTGAAACCATAAAACTTCTTGAAGAAAACATTGGGGGTGGTAAGTTGGATTTGACACCAAAAGCAAAGGCAAAAAGAAATAAATGGGACTATATAAAACTAAAAAGCTTCTGCACAGCAAAGAAAATCATCAAAAAAAATAAAAACCAATCTATGGAATGGGAGAAAATACTTACAAATCGTAGTATCTGATGAAGGATTAACATCCCAAATATTTATAAAGAACTCATGCAACTCAATAGTAAAATCACCCTAAGTAATTGAATTTAAAAATGGCAGAGAAACAACATTTCTCTAAAGAAGACATGACCAACGGGTACATGAAAAGGTGCTCCACACCACTAATCATCAGGGAGATGCAAATCAAAACCACAATGATGTATCACCCCATACCTGTTACTGGCAGAAATGCTAGCATCAAAAAGATAAGCAATAACAAGTGTCAGTGAGGGTGCAGAGAAAAGAGAGCCTTGTACACTGTTGGGAGGAATGCGAATTATATAGCCCCAATGGAAAACAATATGAGATTCCCCCAAAACTTAAAAATACAACTACCATATGACTCAGCAGTCTCACTTATGGGCATGTATCTAACAGAAATGAAAACAGGATGTCAAAGAGGTAGCAGCATTCCCATATTCACTGAAGCATTATTCACGAGAGCTAAGATGTGGAAACCACCAAAGTGTCCATCAGAGGATGAATGGATAAGAAGATGTGGTACATACAGAATGGAATATTCTTCACCACGACAAAGAAGGAAATCCTGCCTTTTCCAACCATGTGAATGAATCTCAGGGGCATTAAGCTAAGTGAAATAAGCTAGACAGGGGAAGACAAATACTACATGGTATTACTTATATGTGGAATCTATAACAAACCGGAAATAGTCAAACTCAGAAACAGAGTAGAAAAGTGGTTTCTAGGGACTAATAGGAAGAGATTGGCGAAAAGGTACCAAATTTCAGCTGTACGATGAATAAGATCTGAGGATCTAATGTAAATTATGGTGATTATAGTTGATAATACTATATTGTGTAGTTGGAATCTGTTAAGAGATTAGA